TTTCTATCCTCTTTTCATTGTTTTCTTCTCTGTGTACTTGAGTTTGATGCGCTCGAGCTGAAGGTATTTTTGAAACAATCTTTCTACCTCCACTAATTAGTGATAAAATATGTGTACACTCTACTCAATCTCTTCATACCCCATATAGTAAAATTTAGTGGATATATTGTTATGTTATTACAAACTAGTAATAGATTTTTAGAAGTTTTATGTCACGTGTACGCACTTATTATTAAAATGATAAAATTATTTGTAAGGTTCAAATTCAAAAAAATTATGCAATGCTCTAATTAGCTAGCTAGGATAAATTTTAGGGTTTAATAATTGCAAGTCATAACAGAGGCGTTTGAAACTCACATCATATATCTAGGACATGATAACAGCGTACTATACGATAAAAAAATTAGTGAAAAACAATAATTTAGTCTATATCAAGACCTGAATATAAACTACCTTATATGCACATCATCAAAATCTTAAACATGATAATCTTACAAAAAAAAATTTAAGAGAACATATATGAACGAAAGACATTATCTTAGAGAGGAATATATGAAAGCTTTAACTGGAAATTGATTTCTACTTCATTGTCCTAACTTTTATTTATATTACCACAATTTTATTTTTTTATTTTTTTCAAATTTGGACAATTTCTCGATTTATGCATGTCATTCTTACGCAGGGGTCAGGCTAATCTTCTATGTATCATCCCAATTTTATCGAATGTCCCCAAAGGGACTTATATTACCACAATTGTCAGCGATAAAATGCGTGCAGAGAGCCAAAAAATGTTTAGTAATGTTAATCAATCTAATGAACAAGATTTGTTCTTACTTTTTTACTAGTTATAAACTTTTTATTAATTTAGCCACACATAAATAATTAAAGTTTACATTTGTGTCAAGTAAAAGTGTTTATCTAGTCATTGTCGACAATTTGAAGGGTCTATTTATGTGTTTCGCCTTGTTTATTTTTTATTTTTTAAAATTTAAACATCCTTGACCAGATGTTCTGGATTACGTCATATGCAATTTAACTCCTTTTTCAATTTTAGAACTGATACAATTATAATAATGTGACATTTTTGGTTTTACCATTAGGGAATGTAGGAAATAGCTAGAGCTTTTTCGTTCTTAATCCAATGTCTAGCTAGTTTGAGTTATCTTTAAGAATGATAATATTTTTTAAAATATCATTTTTACTTCCCTATGGATTAATTGACACTAATTCGAATAACGGAATAAGTTGATTAGTAAATTTTGAAAATCGGATGATTAAACAAAACACATTTCAAATTTGGAGAGAAAATGACAACAATGGTCCCTTTTTGTTTGAAAGATGAATAAAATTCCCAATTTTATCTTTAAAAAAAAAAAGAGTCAAAATGGTTCATTAAATATATTTTGGTCCTCTAAATTTGTCAAAAACAAGCATTTTTATTTTTTATAAAATACTCAACAAACTCTAATAGTTAGATTTAACGAAAATTGTGGTGTGGGGTAGGGAGAATTAATAAAACACATAACAATCAGATTTTTGTTAAATCATATAAACTGTTTAGAAATATACATAAGAAACCATTTTGAATATATTCACACAATCAAGCTGTATTCATTTTATTAGCGGAGGATCCAGATTTTTTAAAATAAAAAATTCGAAATATTAAAAGTAAATATACGAAAAAGTCAAAAAAGATACTTCATCATTTATTATATATACTTGTAAAAATAATTATTATCATGTATAGCGGAAGAGAATTCGATTAAAGTACTCATCGACCCTTACGAGCACCACTTGTGTATAACCTACAAATCACAAATGCAAACCGTGAAAATTGTCATTAATACTAGCTCTGCATCGAGTTGCCCAATCAATATTTTTGGCCCACCCCACCTCAACAAAGACTTTACAAAACTATATACTCCTATAAAAAATAAATAAAATAAATATAAAAAATTGTCCAACAAAATCCTAAATCAAAGGAGACTCTCTAGCAGAGTAAATAGAGTCTCTGTCAGAAAACAAAATCTCTGTCCTTTTCATTTATGCATCAAAATCAGTACTTTCATTGACCTTCTTACTTTCCTCTCCCATAACCCTATTCTTCTTGCTACTCTTTCTTCTTCTCAAATTTAATAATGATTAGACATATTAACATAACAGTTTTTAGGTTTAAGAAAAAAATTTAACATTTCACAATTAAGATTTAGAATTCAAATCTTTGTTGAGGGGAGGTTCACTAGTGCTTATTAGTGGTCGCGCTTAATCATATCCAAATCCAAAATGAACGAGGGATATCATTACATATCGTTTACTGAGTGAAAGATGAAGACATGTTGATTTCTATGTACTAGTACTAATTTGTAACGTTTAGTTTGTTTAATATTATGTACACACTGCTCGGTGAGTGAAAGATGAGGACATGTTGATTCCTATGTCTCTTAAGAGGTGCAATACTTCTATAGTAGAAATTTTTGTGAAACATTTTACTATGTACTACTAGACTACTAGTACTAGTTTGTAACGTTTAATTGTTTAATATTATGTAACATTATATAAATCAAGTTATTATTAATTGCTTAAATTTACTATGTCCATTTTCAAATATGTTACACTAAATAAGACAAATGGGACTATTTGAAGTATGGTTTTAAAAAATTGAGTCTGAAAACAATCAACAAGCATGTGTATAATGTCAAAGTCAAATATTAAATAGTTTTGACCTTCATATATATATATTATATTTTGGAACTATTTTCAAAGGTGTGGGCTCTGTAATTAACGGTGGAAAAAGTACTATACATTAATTATGAAAGAAAAAAACAAAAGAAGATTTATAAGGTGCTCCATATTCTTGATGAATTGGACTAATTTTATTATATATGTATAAACCATGTATAACAACGAGGCTTTTCACCTTCTTAGGGATATTGTCAATAGAACTTGTGAAATATTATTGAGTATTATTTCAAGGAACTTAATTGTTTAGATTCAATATATCGTATAATAGATTGTGAAATATTATTGAGTATCATTTAAAGGAATTTAATTTGCTTAGATTTAACAGATCGTACGATGATGTTATGATTGTAGGTGATTCAGACACACGATTAGAAACAAACGTAGCATCCATCGACTCATTAGCAGTAACAAACTCTTTCTGAGAGTGTTATTTATAGACTTTGTATTCTATATTTTAGTTAGTGAAAGTTTGTGTGATAGTTTAATCAGACACTCAATTAAAAAAGAAATAAAAAAGATATTTGAATCTTCTAAGTTTAAATTAAATATATGTGTAATGTACTGATACATACATATTAAATTATATGGAATATACGTGTAAGATACATGAACTATATTATATGGTATACTTTTTTATCAGCCAAATACGTACATAGACAACCCCTCTAACTTGTCCTAATGTTCAAAACTACAGGTTAAAATTGAAAACACAGTTTAAAGTGATCAATATAATCGATGACATACTAAAAAAATAAAATACATGAAATAAACTTTTTTTATTGGCCAAATACATAAACAACCTCTCTAACTCGCCTCTGATATTCAAACTCTATAGTTTAAAGTTGATAACATAGTTTATGAAAATTGATTTTCATTACTGTAGCACAGTAATATATTAAAAAGTAAGTGATAAAAACATTAGAGATTTTATACATAAGTTTAGAAGGAAAGCATCAAATCAAACACTAGCAAAAGGAACAGTATAAAAAAGGGGACATGATTTCCTGTTTTGTGGAACAGTGCCAAAGAGCCTTAGTTGTCCATTAATATTTTAGTGGGACCAATCACTCACCTAATCCATAAAATGCCATAACCCCCATCTCTTCTCCATCATACCCCCACCCCCAACCAAAAAAAGAAAAAATAAAAAACTTTGATTTACTTCCACTAATATAATTATTTTCATTTCTTTTGTTGGTATTTGATAAAGAAGAAAAAGGAGTTTTTTTGAGTGAAAAAAAATAAAATTTGAAAGTTAAAAGTTATATTTGATAACCTAAAATAAATAGTAATTATTCTGTTAAAACAAGTTAAAGTATATTATTAGATATTTCATCCGATGATTAATATCTGCATTGGAAAGTTCAACATTGAGGGGTAAAACACTCTCTAATAAATATGACTTCATATTTAAGGATATTCGAACTCGAAACGTTTTGTTAAGGATGAAAAATACTTATAACTCTGCCTCAACCCTTGTTGATATATTTTACTTTATCAATGTACAATTATAACAACAATTATATATATATATATATATCATCATGGACACATGGTGACATGTGATGGCCTGATGGGTATGGGATGCCCTTATCATTTTCCTTCTCATTTTTTCAAAATACATTAATAATAATTATATAATCAGATCACTTATAAAACAATTTCATATTTTGAAAACACTATTGAATAATCTGGTAAAAAATGGGAGGAACCTGTTATCTAGAGTTGAACTATATTGATTATACAAAATAAACTTTGCACTGTGTGTGTGCATATATTTCTATTTTGTTGTAGCAAGTTACATACATAGTATTGTAAGGCAATTTAACTTAATTGTATAAAGATATTGCACACTATTAGCCTATTAGTTCAGGGGTGGAGCTACAACCCGTGAAGGGTGGCCAACTGACCACCCTTTGTCGGAAAATTAGATCGTATGTATAGGTAATATATTCTGTGTTATTTCGACTCGTTATATAAATAAATGCACACACTAAAGCATAGTGGAAGTTGATGGTCCAGTGGTAAGTGTGTTCAAGTTTGGATTTAAAAGGGATAGAATATATTCAGACATTACCACTATTAGCGTATATAACTTAAGTTTCCTTATTAACGACGTGTTATAAAAATAACGATAAATATACCTAGAGTAAAATTTTGAAAAGATAAAATATACACATATCATATCATTATCGATTTATATAACTTAGAATCATTTCTTTCTTCTTTTTCCATTTCTTTTCCTTTTTATTCTTTTCCCCCTTTATTCAATTACCTATCAAGTCATTACTCTCAATAACCCAAACCAAATGGCCCCCTTTCAAAAAGCCTTGTCAAACTTTACAAGACTTTCTACTTCATATGTCTTCATTCTTCTTCTTCTTTCTTTCCTTCTTTCTAACCTTACTTGCCAATAGATTTACATATGTTTTCTTCTTTTTCTAAAGTATCACTCTTTCAAAATTGTCCATAGTGAATTAAGTTTCAAGAATGATAAGTTTCTTCACAAGGAAAGTACTTGTTTTATGGATGACTATTATATTAATCTCTATTTTTGGTCATTTTTGTCATGGTTCAAGAAGCAATTCACAAGTATTCAATACAATAAATAGCCAAAGAAACTCTTACAATCATGGCCATTTTTGGAACTTCCTGCCAAAAAGAATCCCAATTCCAGCTTCTGGTCCATCAAGAAAACATAATGACATTGGTTTAAAGAGTACTTGGAGATTACCATGAAGATTATTTGAAGAAATTAAATATTGGCAACTTTTTTTTTTTTGGTTATGGGAGGGTACTACTAATTCTTCTTCTTCTTCTTAATTTCTTGGATGAACACATGTACATTTTTTTGGGTAATTTTAAGAACTTTTTTTTTTGTTTATTGACTTAAGGGTATTTTGTGTTAGGTTGATTTAGTTCTATGGTTTTTTTTCTTTTTTTGGTCGTGGTGACTAGAAGGGAAATTAAATGAAAAGGGGAGAAAAAGAATTAAGAACATTTTTTGGGGTTTTGTGGATCAAAATATAATTGATCATCATCTAGCTTGGAGGTGAGGTGGGGTGGTGGGGGTATTTTGGTCTTAATTAATTAGAGTATGCTTTGAAAAACTGTGTATGTAATTTCTGTATACATAGAAGAGATCCATGATAATACAAGATGAAATGGCTTTATTTTTAAGTTTTGTCTGAATGTTTTAATTTTCTTGCCATTTCTACTTTTTATTTTTGGTATCCTAGTATTTGATATTTGTTTTAGGGTTTGACAAGTTTGATTTTGCATTATAAGGTCTCGTTGTAGGTAAAATATTCATTATCAAAGATGATTCAACTTCTGATAATTCGAACTCCAAATCTCTATATAATTATAAGTAAATAAGTATTTATCATTTTATTATGATCTTTGGCTGTGTTTTTTTTTTGTAATTTTTAAGTATGCATAGATCAACTCTACAAAAGACTTGGCAATATATTACACCAAAATTTTGTGTTTTTTTCTTTTGTTTCTTTACTCTTTTCACGTCAATTATTATTTTGAAATCTTTTTTTATTTCTTCTAAAACTATTTGTCATGTGATAAATAAAAAATAATATTTCTGGTACGGTACATAATAATTCTGCAGAGAAGAAAATCAAGAAAATTGGTCCAATATTAAATTGACAAGTTTTATGCTGATGGCAAGTCTATCGCAAGATAATCAATTAAATATCGTGAATTAACAAATTTTACTCTGGCCATCAATTTATTGCAATCCTCCTCCTTTATCGGAGTTTCGGTACCTAGCATGCTCACACTGTCTTACCACATTCCACATAAGTGAAATTGGAAAAAAAAATCAATCCAATATACAACAAACATTTTTTTTTTAATTAAAATCAGTCATAACAACGAGAACTTTTATTTATTAAAATAATTAATAAAAAAATATTTTATTTTATTTTTTGTTTGTTTTATGACTAATAATGGCAACAGTGAAAGCTACTAACTCCTATTTATTAAGTTGTACTGATACTGATAATAATATCTAATGTCATACGTAGATACAGCTGCACACGTAAACTATTTATTTATTTAGTACTCATACCGTACTCCATACCAAATTAATATATATAATTAATAATGCTGTCAATGTCATAGTTTTTATTTTAAATTTTATTTCCTTCTTAATAATTATTTCAATAATTAAATTTATTTTAATTATCATCCATATTTACTACGTAATTTATTTATCATAACGTACAATTTTGTCATGTTTTCGCATTTGAATATGTCAGACTAATTTCTTGAGGTATCTGCTATATACTTCTCACAATACAAATATCGACTACAATTTTGTTTCTATTTTATTATAGTGATAACTGATATTCGATGGTATTTTTACCTTTTTTCTCAATTTTATTTTTCCTTTATTTTTTCTTATATGTTTTTGTCCATTAATTATGTGCCAAAATGATTCTAGATTTGTGTATAATTACACAGATTCTTTTTCATTACTTTAATCACTACAAGGAGCAGTTAAAAGTAAAGTTTTCACCGATTTTCTTGAATATAATTAGTAAAGAAGTTTGTAATGATTTTAAAACAAATGTGTCCCCATTATTGTTCATGATTTTCCCTACAAAAATGTCCTATGATAAAAACCAATACCTTTAGTTTTTGTTTTGTTTTTTTAAAATAAAACTACTACTAAAAAGAGTTACGGCTAGTATCAACATGAATTGTGATGAGATGATTGAAATTCCTTCATTCTTAATCAGATGTCTCAGATTCAGGTCCTCATAATGAAAATTTTTTTACGTTAAAAGCGCCACCTTCAAAAAAATAGGTCGTGAAATGTGTGCATCTGAATTAATTGAACTTTAAAGCCGGAGTACCAAAAATTCGAAAAACTAAAAAAGAAAGTTACGATTAGGAAATTATGTACTATTGCTTGCTTTTAAAATAAAGCATGGAATCCAAAGTTTGAAGAGAAAAAGTTTAATTAAGGGAATAAGAAAAATTAGGAAATTCAAAACAAAAATTAGGGAATCTAATTGAAAAGCAAATTTCTCGAGAATTAAAAGTTAGGTGTTTATTTATTTGCTTAGCTATAGTATAATCAAATAATGAACCTAGAATTATTGATAAATTAAGTGTATCTGGATAATGATACAAATAAATAAATGTCTTTATCTCACTATATGTATATGATGATAACAGGAAATTGTCCCTGTAAATTGCACTATGTTTATCTTTTATATTTCTTAAATACCTTTTTTTTCAAAAAAAATGTTTTTTGGAAAGATATATCACTTTATTCTATTTGAAAAACTAAAAGAAATGAGCTATATATAACTACCAACTTTCCCTTTTATATCTCTGATACAACGATAATCTTTATGATTTCATCTTAATTAATTATTGTCACAAATCCTAAGTTTTTAACATCTTAGTTTTGACTTGCTCTATCACGATCTAAATTTATGACATGTATTGTCCATTTTGGACTGAGGTTGCATGTATTTGCCGTTCAAGCTATGCATGTCGTGTGAACTTGAATCGTGCCTTCTAAAATTATTCATTTTCATCTCCCTTTAATTATGAGATTCGCCTAATAAGATGACAGGTGTACCATCTTCAGAAATTTGTCAGCCTAGAAATATGTCAGTCATATTAATCCACCCCATGTCAGGGTGCAATATTTTTCACGATTCAAGTTCATGACACGTATTGTCTGTTTTGGTCCTAGCTCACATGAACTTGTCTTTCATGCTCTATCACATGTACATTGACCCCTAAAAAGCACGCGTACAATGTGAACTTGATTTATGTCCTATTTAATTGTGCATTTTCTTTTTTCATTTCGAATTGAAATTCCTTTAAGATATTATCAACTGTTTATTTTCAAAAACTTACTTACCACCTAAGAGTCTATCAATCCTGCTTAATCCACCCTCATCGACTGCTTTACACAACAATGTGGTAGAATTATTATGATATAATACATATAGTATCTTTTAAGTAATCCTTTGTAACATTGTATTTACCAGCAAGCAAAACGAATCATTTTATTACATGCTTTCGGCAAAAGTTAGATTAAAATAATTTAATATTCAGACCAAAAAATAAATTAATTAAATATTGCTATTCCTTAAATTTATGGATCTGTTTCGAAATATGTTTAAGGGGACCCCTCTTGTTTAGGATTATGTTAACAAAGATTATTTGACTATTATTTTAAAATACTAATTCCTCAAATATTTTATTGTCATTCATATTATTAAATATTTTCCACATTTCAAGGCCAAAAGTAATATATAAAAAACCAAAAGTTTCCCTAAATAGTTGCAAATTATTATACTGTCTCCGTCCACTTTTAATTATCGTAGTTTCATTTTTTAGAGTCAAACTATAAAAACTTTGACTAACATTTTACGGTGTATTTTCTCATCATATTGATATGCAAAAAATTGGAATTTATAGTACTTTTATTATAGTTTTTGAATTTTTTTTTTAAATATCGAATCAATGTAATCTAATTTAATTGGAATATTAGTCAAATTGACTTTTGAAAAATGCAATATGACAAATAAATGTGGACGTAAAGAACATCTAATTATGAAACTGCAAAATTTTGATGGGTTCAACAGCTTTTTGGGAAATATTAATAGTCAATGTGGTTTCTATTTTGGTTTTATTTTTAGTTGAAAAATGACAAGTCAGCATGGTCAATGGGCCATTGACTTATTAATCAAGGATTTATAATTAAGTACCTTATCCTTAGTATACATAAATCTATAATTTAATTAAGTTAAACAATAAATTATATTGACATATGGTCAAAGTTTAGAGTTTAACATTCTAGAATAATTGTAATTTATCTCTTATCTTGTCCTAAAACAACTTTGCTTAATTGCAACTTGTAAATTGTAATCTTCTCCAATTATAAGTAGCTAATGGTTTAAAATAGAATATGTTTATTTTAAATTGAACGTCTTAATAGGCGTTTGGACGTTATTTTGTTCATGAATTTTTTTTTGAAGTTGATGTTAAATAAAAAATACTTGATATTTTACAGATATTTAAAATATTAAAGTGGACGTATTGAGATTATTTTGCATAACTTAGTAAAAATACTTAAAATATGCAATTTTGATATCTTAAAAATAAATTTGAAAGTACTAATCAAATATACTAGACCAACTAAAATACAAAAACCTTGATTTTTTTTTTGCTATACTAGACTAAAGTTTTTTATACTCTCCTTTAATTTTCTTTGTATGTGGGAGGGGATTAATTTCCCTAATGATTGTAATAATTTTGTAGAAGGACTATAATCAAGATTTTAACTATGGCCCCACAAAATGACGAAAGTAAAGATGGTAAAATGATATTCGTTTGGTCTCAAAATAACTAAATAAGTATCACTAAAATAAAAATCACAATCAGAAATTAATAAATATAATATGTAATTTATTAAATTATCTTTAGTTGATAAATATCAAACACAATTAAGAAAGTGATGTATAAAAGTATAGTTAAGAAAATATACTAATTTTCTAATTATTTTTATTTGATTATAACTTGAGATTTGAGAGTTCAGATTGGTACCTGTGACCTAATAATAACTTTATTTTCATTGTCAATTTTCTTTAATGAATTTTATTAATCATAACGCATTATTTGACCCATGTGCATTTTATGTCGCATGAATGCTTGATTTAATTAATCAGAAAAAGTGGAAAACAAACAATATTTCTTACATCAAATTACTTGTGAAATTTCTAGTGAATAATATTGCTGGCGGCAGGAGTGTTTTTAAATATTTCAATACAACGCAATAGTCTGATTCAACATAAAATTTAAAAATTATAGAAAATTTTATAATATTTTAAAATCATTTTTAAAAAATGTATTCCTTTACAGATTGTTTGCCAAATAAATGGGACTCAACGAAAAACTTATTGATATTATTATTAAATAAATAAATATGTCATTAATTTTTGACCGACTAAAAAAGAAATAAATTGTATAAATTGGAAGAAAAAAAAAGCATATCGTATTAATTTTTAAGGAGATGATTTACTTTATCCATCTAACTAATCTTGTAAAAGTTCCATTTTTATATGCACTTTAAACCACACATTTAATTGTCTGGACTATAGTTCGACTCCAACCAAACAAATACAAACTCATTGCTA